ATGTAATGATTAATGTTGTCTTATGAGTGCAGTTGCATAATTAATTTGTGAATGACATGATAGAACATGTGATGTGTTGTATGTGGACCATGTGATGGTCATATGATGTCAAGTCCAAGTTTAACTTAATTGTGGGAATGAGAAAGATTGCCTAGCCAATTGTGCTTGTTGCGTTGTTTAGATTGAATATATGATATAATTGATGAGCATGTTTTGATGAATGTGTTGAATACAAAATTGCATAAGAGTATGGTATGACATACATAAAGTGCATCAGTTGACTTTTTTTTTGTGAATGGGTGGAATACACTACTAAGAAAGCTCCCCTTTGTATAAAAGCTTGAGGATTCATCACCTTGGGAATAACCAAGTTTGGGAGCCCTAATTCTGCTCATTGTGTGCATGGAGTGTAACTTAGCCAGTATCGTTATCCCAACGTGCCTTGGTGTATATCCTCCTAGTGTAGGTGTTGTGATGGCTTACTCTAGCATGTTCTCCTAGGCTACTCTAATTTGGCCTTTATGCAATAGTTGCAATTGTTTTACTGGCGCTACATGCATACAGTTTAGGATTATTCGTGTCCATTGTATTACCATAAACATAAAGATGTATCTTGGTTGAATGTAAACTACGAATATGATATACGCTAAAATATGTACTATTGGAAGGTGTTTTGATATCTATTGTTCTTAAATGTAAATGTGTATTTGTTGCTTGTTGTGTGTGCCTACCTGACCATAGCTTACACTAATAGTCGAAGCGAGATGTTTCTCATTCCTTTTTTATTTTATTGTCTTTTGTTGTATGTTTGTAGGTGAGATTCATCTTAAAAATGATGAGGCTTAAACCTTGTACTAGGTGTGCTTTGATAGGATGTGATATCGGGATAGTAGTTAGGAATTTATGTTTTGGTTGATTGTTTAAGTTAAAATTTAGTTATATTAGTTGAGTTGGTATTAGGTTTTTATTTCTTTGTAATTACTATTAAACATAGTTTTTGCTTACTGTTTAGTTTTGTTTGTAATGTGATGTTTCTACCCATGTGAATTTATCTTATCTAGTAGAAATATTTTGAAGCTTTTTTGTTTTCATAATTATTGAATTATATGCTATGATAGTATGTGATGTAGATGGTGACACAACTAAGATTTTTGATAAAATCATATCAAATTTTTACGAGAATCAAGGAAATATGTCATTTGATTTTGGGAGAATCATAAATGTATTTTGAGCCACTTAATTCTATATTAAGAAACATATAAGTTGCTTCAATGATGTAGTGGTTATCATATGCATTTAATGGGGTTTTCATGGATAACTTATGAATGAAGCTAGGTTTATTAGAAGAACTAATAATGTTATAGGGAGATCTGATCTCATGTTGTAAAAAATACTTATCCTCAAAAAATCTCGAAATAAATATTTTTTTTGGGCATCTATTAAAGAAGTTTTGAGAGAAATCAACTGACATATATCAAATCATTTTTTTATCAATGAATATTTCATCCAAGACTTGAAGAAGAAGTTATATAAAGACAAGTTTAGGTTGGAACTATACAGTTTTTGTCAAAAACTTATTTTCAATTTTTATTGAAAATGCTCTAGGTGGTTAGGGTCCATTATTAGAAGTTTATACAAGAGACAAGTGATTTTACACATGTATGGCTAATATTAGTTGTCCATTGTATATTTATTTCTATAAATACTTGAAATTGAGTCATTTGTAAACAGTGACGGATCCAGAAAATTTGTTAAGTGGTGACAATAAAATATTTTATAATAATTTTTTTATTAAAAATATAATAATTTTTAAAAAAAAGTATATTTTTGTGATAAAAAAATTTAATATATCTATTTTTTAAATTAAAATATTCTCATAAATAGAGTGACAATTTTTTTTGTCTGATATTATATTTAAGTGTGACATTGTAATTTTTAGTGACTTGTTTAATTTTTGAGGAACAAAATGGCATAAGTTTTTTTTTTTGAGAGGACAAAATGACATTAGTTGTTAAGATAAAGATAATATAATTATTATTTGTTTTCTCTTGTATCTCTTCTAAATTTTTATGTTCAATCAAAACAATAATATTTTATGAGAACAATGCCTATTTTTTTTTATAAGAGCAATTTTTTTTTATTAAATATGTTTAAGTAAAAATAAATAAAAACTTTGTGTGACAATTACTATTATTCCTCTTAATGTGGATCCTTTCTTACTAATACATAATGAACACATACAAGATCAAAAGGGTTAAAAACTAAAATAAAAATTGAAAAACAACATATATTTGTAAACTAAATTATGATATATATAATAAATAAAGAAGTAATAAATCTTTCAGTAAAAAATAATGTATATTATAATAATAAAAAATTAAGATAATTTTATCATAAAGTGGAAGAAATTACATAGTAAAATAAAATATTAATATATTTTAACATATTAGATATAAAAAAATAATTATTACAAAAAATATTACATATATTCACATATAAAAAGTGTTATTATAGCCTATATTTACACCTTTTAACAATATATCAACATATATTATATTTATAATATATATAAAAATAATTTTTAGTGACAAATATCATGTCTCTATAAAATATGTCATTA